TCTCCTGTCAGCCCCTTGAGGGTGGAAAATTTATCTCTAGCAGACATACCTTACCCATGGCTTTAGACATAGTAGGCAATTTGAATTGAACTGAGCAAAGATACTTTGAAAACTTTATGCTGGTGATGCAGCACGGAAACATTTTTATGATTATGTCCTTGGTCTGGGGACTGACACCTGTGTTGTTCTACTGTTTCCCATAATAGTCATATGAGGTAAAGATGTGGCAAGAGAAACTGGAAAGGAAATTGGGTTAAGTGACATTCCAAAGCAGGGAATGGAATTAGGTTAGGTGACATTCCAACTATCTGCCATGAAGCAGAGAATGGTGGCCATACCTCCTGGCTCCTAAGGATCCCTCAAGACCCACCACGTCACTGATTGGTAGATGTAGACAATGTTAGTAGAAAATAGGACTCGTCAAGTTGTCATTGAGGAAATATTTACTGAGTGTCCGCTGTATGCAGATAATGTATGTGGTGCTGGGTAAACAGTATTGGAAGAAATAAACTTGAATGGATTCTAATCTGATACAATTTAAGGTCTAGTTGTGGGGGGCAGAAAGGAGAAAACCACTAGAAAAGCAAGCAAAAATAAAAATCGCAAATTGAGAAAATGCTACAAAAGTGTGTTGTAAAGGGTATATAAGATCAGGGGCTTAATTACATAGAGTGGTTGGCTCAGACCTCTCTGAGAGGTGAACAAGGTGAGAAGTAGCCAGCCATGGGAAGGCATGAGGCAAGAAAGGACTTGGTGAGCTCGAGGAAATGGAAAGAGCCCTCGGGGCTGATGCAGAGTGAGATGAAGGGAGAGTAGCCCAAGGTGAGGCCAGAGAGGGAGGCAGGTGTAGACAGTGGGCAATTTGCTTCCTCTCTCAGCACCTCAATTTCTTGATCTGCAAAATGAGTTGTTGGACTGCGCTATGACCACTACTGACCTTAGAGGTCATTTGGCATTAAGTGTGAATCCTTTTTCTCCATTGGTTTCAATATCACGATTTTCTAATTCTCTGGGTGCTGAGGATGCAATCCTAGGCACGAGGACCTAGAGACCTGCTTAGGTTTGGTGGGGCCGACTAAAATGCCAACAGCAGGACTTATCAACCCTGCACTACTTTGGGCCGGATAATTTTTTGTTGTGGAGGTTGGGAAGGTGCTGTTCCCAGCATTGTAGAATGTTTAGCAGCATTCCTGGCCTCTACCCACAAGACGTCAGAAGCAACTCTCATCCTGTTGTGAGTGGCCAAAAATACCTCCAGACATTGCCAAATGTCCTGAAGAGACAAAATCTCCCATGGTTGAGAACCACTGCCTACAGGGCAAGGCTGTAACTTCAAGGAGCAGGCCCGTTATGAGTTTAGATGGAAGCTGACACATGGCCTCAGTGTTGGGGAAAAAAGAAAACATGGCAGGGGCATGGGAAATGGGAAAGAGCACCCACTCCTTTAGAGGGGGACTTCTCTCACTAGGGCTGGCTGGCTCTTTCTTCCTTTTTTCCCCTAAGACTTCAGGTACTCACAGTGAGATTGTCCACAGTCCTTGGTTCATGAGACACTCATGTTATTTGCCCATGCTGAGTTGCGTTAATTTAGCTAGCTATCAAATTAGATTTTTATAATAATATGATGAACCCACCACCACGAACAAGAGCTAGGAGCGTGACAATAACCTGCATTTCTCAGTGTGGCTTGTCATTCCCTCACTCGTCCCAGTGAAGGCAGCTACTGTCCTGCTTCATCATCATTCCAATGCTTCCTCTTTTATACAGTTTTCTAAGTGTATCCTAAAAATATGTTTTAAATTTTAGTTTTTTAACTTTATAAAAAAGGTTATTATGCTTTTGTAATCCTTGGCACTGACTTTTTCACTTACTAAGAGCCCTCTGTATTGCTGGGTGTTAGCGGAGTTGGTGAGTGTGAAGTGTCGTAGAGAATCCTATTGTGTAGACATATGACAGTACATCACGCACTCTAAGTGGAAGGTGTTTGGGTTATTTCCTGGGTTATTTTGTACATGTCTGTTGATATTCTCCAGCTAACTCTTACAGTGCAAGAACATGGGGAAATACTGTCAGAATTTCAGATATATTTAAAGAAAAAGTAGAAATCATAATTTTTATGTGAAAATAACCAGAAGACCAACTTAAAGTTTTAAGAAATCCATACCAGGTCAACAAGAAACCTGGCTGCAGGCCATTCATTTTCAGCCTCTGGTTTAAGATTTCTGGACTCAGTCATTGAGGTTGAGAATTTCTCACTTGAACCTAGAAGTGAAGGTAACTTAGAAGAAGCTTGGAAACGTCTCCTTTAGTGCTAAGGAGTGGCAAACAGAAATGATGCAGACAGAAATTTTAATAGGTTTTTGGGGTTGGGGTAAGCAGTTAGGTTGATTGCATTTATTTGACATAATTTGTTGTAGTGCATGGGAATTATAGCAAAGCATTCTCTTCACACCCAAAATTTGGAAATAGGGGAAAAGAGATTATCTTCAGGGAGATGAACTTTTCAAAGTTGAATCTTTTAAAACTTTAAAATATTTAATGAAGGCTATAGAGAAATGCAAATTTGTGTCAAAGAGACTGAATGGCTCCCAGGCCAATAAGGTTTAACTGTAATTTGATTGAATGAATTAATGTGTCTAAAGAAGGTGTGTGTCAATTGTGTCAGTTGGGGTGGGAGATGGTCAGCGGAGATTCCAGAGCCCATTTTAAGCACTATGCATGCGTATCTATGTTGGCAGGACAATCACTACTGTGAAAATGGTGCTGTTGGGGAGAGAATGAACTCAATACCAATCCATGCATTTATCTGGTTGGTGTGACAGTTGCATGTATCTCTCTCTCTCATTACACCCCAGTTTCTAAGATCTGCTTGGCTGAAGTCTTCCCTATGAGAGACAGTTCTGTTGGCTGTTTCTGGGGCTAGAAGGCTGAGAGCCACTTTCAGGACTTGGTGGACCCCAGGTGATGACATCACCCTGTGAAGCTTCTTTGGAGACAACCACTGTCCTGCTCCAGTTGTCACCCTCCCTGTGCCCATATTGTCACACTTCTACATTTACCAAGTGCTTACTTTGTGTCAGGCCCTAGGTATAAACTCTGAAAGATCAGCCTTGATTCAACCTCATGGATCATCTAGGGCATGGCATTATCTAAGATCTGGGAACGTCCCTTAATGTCTATGGAGAAGTTTGTATGTGTTCCCTGTCTATTTTTCTGTGGAGAGGGTCCATAGATGCTGAGAGGGTTCTGTTAGCTGAGGTAGTTTTAACCTTTACTTTGAGGATCACATTTTGGCTTCTTGCACATCAGAGGTCTTGAATGCCCAGGGACAGAGGGAGAGGAAGAATGTGTGGGTAGGAGAGGGATAAAGAAAGCAACAGTGTGCTAGTCTGTAATGCACATTACCTGTCATGAGTTTAATTATTTGTGTAATATTCTTTGGACATTTCCCCCATATTCTTTTTTTGGCTGATCGATCCCTATTTGTGGAAGGTAAGAGTGGGTGAACTGCAGGGTAGCAGGGACGGTCCCTCAAGCATATTCAGGGACACAGAAGGCACTCCATAAATGTAGGAAGTAAGTTGCTATGTGGTAATAAGCACCATGCTAAGTTTTGCAATTTTAAACCCAATATCCATCAATAGTCCCCACAATGCAATTCACTGCAAGTCAGTACAATTCAGCTCACTTCAGCAAGCAATAATTGAACACTCCTTGTCCACATTACTTTATTCTTGCTACAGAAAATTTGGCAATGTATTATGGATCACGGGCCACTACATGGTGGTGTAGTTTCCACGGGACTGAGAGCAGGGAGGCTGTTAAAATAACTCTTGGGTATAGCTAGGGGGGTACTCGCTTGGCTTACTTTGGACGCTTCTGGTCTACTCTTGTTATTCCAGTGTTATTATTAATAGCACTTCATTCAGATGACAATTTATATGGTTATCCCTTTATATAACCCTTTGATTGTTCTAAATTTGTTTAATCTTATCTGCTTTTGTGTTTCTCTTCCCCACTAAACTAATGAGCTCCTCGAGGATAAGACATTGTCTCATTGATTTCTGGGTCTAGCACATGCCTGCTATTTGGTGGGCACTTAGTAAACATTTGTTAAATTAAACTAAAATTAAAGAAAAAAATGAAGAGCCTTACAGTAGAAATGGCAAGCCTACATTATCTTCCATGTACAGGAAAGATCTAGATTGGAGGCCCAGTTTTGAGTTACTTATGAGCTTTGTGCCTTGGGAAACTCATTTAATCTTTTTCAACTCAATGAGAAAATATGTGTAAAGTGCTTAGTGAAGGGCTTTTAAGTGCCCAATAAGCGTTAGCTGCTAGCATTGTTACCAATAATAGTTAGTTGCTAATAATAACTCTTATCACATATAATATCTTCCTGAATTTCCATTCTCTTAACTGGAGAATGAAGATAATAATTCTTGCTTACTTTATGTTGATTATGAGCAGGAAAACACTTTGGAAATCACAGAGGGCTCTCATGGCATAGCCCATAAAAGAGTGCAGGTAACAGGGAGGTTTGTGCTGTATAACAGTAAGTAACTCAGGCGTATTACTTGGGGGCTCAATTGACTGGCAATGTAAGGTAACTTTTCAATATAACATTTTAGAAGGATGGGAAAATGACTGGTGTGGAGGGCAGAAGTTGATCTATGCCAAAGTGTGGAAGCATAGAAAAGCACATGGGAAAAAATGGTGGATGGACTCAGGACAGGCAGAGAAATCAGGATTGGGACGCTGCTCAGTGAAGGATTCACAGAGTGTTGCTGCCAGTGTGATGAAGGGACAAATCTATTCCAGGCTTGGCATCTGGAAATCAATAGCTTGAGCTTGGGGCAGAAGAGTCTTTATGTCAGGATAGACATTCTACTTTGCAAAGTCAGTCAAGAGTTTGTATGCTGAGTTAATGAGAACATTTTATAAAAGTTATGCCAAATGTTGACAGTACCTAAGGAAGACATTCAACACACGTATGTGCTTTTGCAAATAATAATAATAATAATAAATAATGAAGAAGAAGGAGAAGAAGAAGAAACCTAATAATTACACATGAAAGCAGCTTTCAGCCAAGGATGACAGAACCTTTTCTGATAATGTAATCCTAGCAAGAGCAGAACTGTTGATGCTAGGAATTCTTGGATGTAACTGCCAATGAACAAGGGGGTAAGATTTCAGGTCTGTGTTGGGCAATGGGGCCAAGTAGCAGCAGCACCAGCAGTAGTAAATGCTTACATAGCACTTATACATATTAACTCATTTAAACCTCACAGCAGACCTATAAGGTGGGTACTACTACTATTCCCACTTTAAGGATGACAACTGAGGTATAAAGAGGTTAAATAACTTACTGAAGGTCACACACCTAGGAAATGTTAGAGCTAGTCTCTGAACCCAAAGTGTCTTCATCCAGAGAATGTGCTTTTAATCAAGGCTCTCAACTATCCCTCAATTCTAGCCATTATAACCAGTATAAAATGTACCTACCACTTTGTGGGATATAGTTGTAGGACTGAGGGCATAGACTTCAGGGATGGTATTCTATTCTGTCCCAGGCTTTTCTTAGAAGGAAGAAGTTTGTCTAGATTACGTGAGTGTCAGAGGTGAAACTCTTACCTTGTTCAAATGTATATCATCCACAGCCTAATAGTGTCCCCTTATGGCATATGACAGGTGCTCCACAGCGTGAGTTGAAATAAACCAAATAGTCTCTATGGTTTTTCCCCTGGATGTAAAATTCTTTTTGTTAGTAACAAGAGAGGAGTGTGGGAACTCATAGCTCTACCCCAAACTTCCAAGGGCAAATTGGCATTTACTTGTCAATCCTTTTGCATTCAAACACTTTCACCAAATCTTGACTCTGAACTCAAGGCCTAGTTCTAGTCCTTCCTGCCCATGACTGCTGGTCCCAGTGAAGGGGATCATGTGGACTGTTACCAGCTAGCTTTCCTTCCACATGGCTAGTTGTCATGTTTGTTAGGGTCATGGATCAAACTCAAGACTTGGTGGCTGACAGACCTGGGTTTGAATCTCAGAACTTCCTAGCTGTGTGGCCTTGGACAGTTCATTCCATTCAGCCATTGGGAGCTCAGTCCCATTGTTTATGAAGTGAGAGTAATAGTATCTCATTTCAGGGATAACATAAGGATAGGGACAATTGGGAGACTTAAACAAGACAACACATCTAAACACTGAGCATAGTGCTTGGCACAGGGTAGCTGGATGCTCAAATTGTAGAAACTGGTTTTCCCAGTTAGATTGCTATTTCCTGGAGGTTTGGGATCATGTCCTACACCTTTCTTGTTGATCAGGAATCCTTCTCCAATCCCTTCATTTTTCACCCTGTTATCCCCTCACTCTCTGCCCCCAGTCCCATCATTAAAAACAGCATTTGTTCATTTATTGTTTATTGTGCTTAACCAACATTTGGGGTCCTCTTGGTTCTGTCCCAGGAGATATTTGGCTATCGGACTCAAGGCTGCCGGCAAACCCTCTGCATTGTGGGATCCATCTTTTCACTTGGAATCCTCTCTTTGGTGTTTTACTGGAGACCAGCTTGGCACGTTTGGGCACATTGTGTTCCATGCTCCTTGCAAGAAGCAGACGTTGTGTTGCTGAGAACAACAGTAAGTGTGCACCTGGTTTTGTAGTTGGTGGCCCTTTTCCTGGACCTTTTGTTATGGGATGGCCAGGGGAGATGTGCACAAGGCAGGTGGCCTATGGGGGCTCCAGTCTTGGGTTCCATCACAGCTTTGCATCTATCAAGAATTCAATAATTTGTATGATGGGATTTGATTAAGAAGATCTATGTCACAGGGTATTCCTTTTAGAATTGTGAGTTTTGTGAATGTTAGAACAAGGGATAACCACGTTAATAGCTGAGAATAACAGGTAGCGTGAAGTGAAGTTAGGCTACAGGCTACAAAATTTACACCAATGCTTCCCCCAAATTCTGATGTATCCTTGCCTATTTCCCCCACTGGAGTGACTCTGGAGGAAAGGAGGGGGACCTTGGGAGGATCCCTCTGAAGAGCATGCTGTCTTCCCCTGCTAATTTGAGAGAGCCACAGTTACTGATGGGAGTGTGTTGCCTTCTGCAAATATGCTAGGGTAAAAAATGCAGTTATCTTGTCCCTGAGGTCATTGTCTCTCTTTGCTAATACAAGGCCCTGGCCTTAGGTGAGTTTTTCTACATTTGTTCTTGTAGCAGTTCCTCATAGCACTCACAGCACTCAGTCAATGTGTGTCATTCTTCCTGGACTGTTAGCTCCACTAGAGACGCGACCATTTCTGACTTCATTGCTGCAGCCCCAGTTTCAGCATGGGGTAGGGATTCCATTAATATGTGGTAGTTGACCTGCTGAAATGCATATTCCTACTGAAGAGAGTGAAAGGAACATCTCATGGTGGACTCCCTTCCGGCTGACTTTTACTGGTGGTTGCTGACAATCCATCAGCCCAAATGACACGGGATGACAGCCACATTTTAGATAAATCAACCTGTTTGGGGAGTTTAGTTTCTTTTCATATATAGCAATCTCCCTAGATAAACACTCTATTTAATGGAGTAAGAGGGGAGGATAGCAGAAAGCCTTTTACCCAACCAAAAAAAAAAAAAAAAGAAATCTACTTTTCAATCTGAAATCTAGCAGAGCTGGGCTAAACTTCAGTGAAATTGGGAACTGGATGAAGCTTGTCTTTATTTGTTCCATTGAGTCAGCTCCACCCTCAGTTCTGGATCCTGCTCCCTTCGAGAACTGCCTGCTCTGTATCCCTGTTGAGCTGACATGTGAATCATGATACAGGTGATAGCTGAGTTGCCTCCTCCCAAGTTCAACTATAATTTAGAGATTTTTGGAGAATGAACTTATAGACTTTAAGAAAGCGAGAGAGTAACAGCAAGTCCTATTGATGATGCTGGGCTGGAGCTGTACTCGGTTGATGCCTCAAATGATACTTCATGAAGGCCACAGATGTGCATGCACACAAGAGAAGAGTGCCCAGCACTCACCAAGGAAGACTTCCTCATCTGATGGGTGGGGAAATAGGGCTGGGGAGGTGACACAGTTTACCTGAGCTCATATGTGAGTGAGGGACCTAACCAGGACAAAGTTCCCTGTGTCCTGGCTCCTGGTCCAGGGGTGTTCCCATTGAACTCCAATTAGACCAGTGGTTCTCAAACATCAGCTGATGTCAGAATAATCTAGAGGGCCTATTAACACAGATTGCTGGGCCCCATCATTAGAGTTTCCAATTCACTAAATTGGGATTGGGGCCCAAGAATTTGCACTTTTAACAGGTTCTCAGATGATTCTAAAGCCTCTAGTAAGGGATCACACTTTGAGAAAAACTGCTGTAAATAGTCATCACTCACATTTATAAGCTCACTTTTTCACGTGGTCCTTGGGAGAGGAATAAAGGCCTGGATCCTTGCTTTATGGCTCAGCCAATATATAGTTCTATAGTATCAAGAGGCATGATCCAGATTTAGCAAAGTGTTGTACACAACCTGAGTGACTTGCTGGAGCAGGGTTAGAGAGAAGTTTGTTTTCTGGGGCTCAGACTGGAGACATAAGACTTTATGGAAAACCCCATCTTTGGCATCATTTCATAGATCAATCCCTCTATGTGAACTTAAGGACTTGTGGCATTCTTATTTTCTAGCATGAAAGCAATTTAATTCTACCCTGGTTGTACCTGTACTTCCATCCGCCCTCAACTAGTTCTCAGAGGGCAATGCTTTTGCTGCAGCAGAAACAAAACCTTAGAAACAGAAAAGCTTTCTTCCTTTCTGAGCACATCAACAGACTCTTCAGTTGTGAGGACGTCTATGTGGCTGAGCTGTGCTTGCTGAGATTGCTGGCAGAGTTGAGGAAAAGGCAGGAACAAGAGGAAATAGGCAAGGAAATGGAAAGGAAAGGGAGGGAAAGGAAAGAAATGGAGTGGGAAAAAGGCAAAAGGAAAATGAAGAGGGAGAAAAGAGAAAGAAAAAGCTACTAAAAGTAAAAAATTTAAAAAGTGTCAACCGACAGGGAGATGGTACATTCTGGGATTTGGTATTACCACCAAGCTGCTGCAGGAAGTGCCCTGGGCTCTCCCAAGCTGGGGTGGTGGGGGAACAAGGGCCTTGGCCATGTTCCCCCAACATGAGCAACCAGCCCAGTGATGACCACTGAGCCTCTGCAGGAAGAACCCTGGACTTTCCCAATCCAGGGTGGTGGGGGGCTAAGGGCCTTGGCCACACCCCTTCCACACCTGCAGCCAGCCCAGTGATGACCACTGAGCTGCTGCAGGAAGCGCCCTGGGCTCTCCTGAGCTGGGGCGGTGTAGGGCCTCAGGCCTTGGTCACACCACCCCCAACATGAGCAACCAGCCCAGTGACGACCACCAAGCTGCTGCAGGAAGTGCCCTGGGCTCTCCCAAGCCAGGGCGGTGGGGGACAAAGGGCCTCAGCCATTCCCCTCCTATACCTGCAGCCAGCCCAGTGACAACCACTGAGCTGCCACAAGAAGTGCCCCAGGATCTCCTGAGCCAGGGTGGTGGGGGGCCGAGGGCCTTGGCCGCACCCCCACAACATGAGTAAACAGCCCAGCAACAACCACAGAGCCACCACAGTAAGTGCCCCAGGCTCTCCCAAGCCAGGGCGGTGGGGGACAAAGGGCCTCGGCCACACCCCCCCCACACCTGCAGCCAGCCCAGTGACAACCACTGAGCAGCAGCAAGAAGGGCCCTGGTGCCTGAGCTGGGAAGGTGGGAGGCAAGGGCATTTGCCACAACCCCCTGACATCTGCACCCAGCCTGGCAATGACCAAGTCACTGCTGGAAGACCCCCGCTCTCCCCTGTGGTATTGTGGGGAGTGCCACAGGCCTCAATCCTGTGCCTCCTCCTTTCTTCTTCTTCCATCACATTTCCTTCCCCTTTCCCCTCTCCCCTTCTCTCCCATCTGCTCTGCAACAATGCAACAACATCATAGAATGTAAAAAAATAATATTAATAATAAAAAAGG